CTCTGAATGGGGAGTCACCAGCCTGGGGGTGAAGCATAGCACCTTTGATACCTGGGAATGTGGATCAATGTGGTGACAAAGATACTGTTCCCCAGGACAAAGTTTGTGTGAGATCGTTTTTTGCTCAGTTCTCAAGGCAGATATTCAAGTGAAGAGGAGAAAGTACCAAACTTAGAAATTTGTGTTCTCCTTCAATTCTCTCTGTATTTAAAATGAGTTTAACAACTCCTAAATACATCAGTTGTCTTTCAAAAGCTACAAAATTTTATTCTGGAGTAACATTCTAATTTCATGAATAGCACTTAAATAAGATACAGAGTTCAAATCCATCATTCTTGGAAGCTCGGGAGGTGAAGAAGGCTGATGATGTAAGATCACATGGATCACTTCCCCAGGGTTTGCTGCCAAGTTCCAGGGGACAATGAGTTACTAATGTCCATTCCAGGAGCTCGACCCTGGAGACACGGCTGAGTCCCATCTCCAAGGTACCCAGATAACACACCATCTACACTGTGTTCCAGTGGATCACAGGAACACACTGTCTACATCATAACATCCAGTGTGCCAGGCAGCAGGAGAGGTGGAGGAGGGGAGAGTTTGTTTTAGCATCCTTTAAAAATTAAAGCTCATTAAATGCATTAAATTATTTAAAAGAATTAAAAATTCAAAATAATTCCAAATTTAAAACCTATTTATAATAAGATTACATGTCAGAAAACCACAGACATGGGAGGACCAATTTGATCATTCTATACTTCACAGAGTTGCATGCCACCGTGATCACACCTGCCACATACACAGAAAAAGCCAAGGAAGGAAACCCTGCTTCCTGCAGGCTCAGATGTGGAAGGAAGCCTAGAGTATAAGGGCAGATGATGCTGCCAGTCTTGTGCTCTACCCAGCTGTGGCCCATTTGCACATGGCTATGTTATTGATGCTGTTGACAAAAGGAAGCCAGAACGCATCTTGTGATTCCCTGGCAAGGGGCAGCTTGCTAACAGGCTAGCCTCACTGAAGCACAGGCTGAGCACATCAAATCCCCATGAAGTCAGCTAGCGGCATCTTTCATTCGTCACCATGGGCTGTCAGGCTGCAAAGAGCATTAACACAGAAGCCTTTCCAGAGAGCTCGGCAGCTGCTGGTGTCAGGGTGATGTCCACACTCCATCCAGACAAACCCAGTATCCAGCCTCCCTTCTTCCATCTCAGGCAACACTGCCAGCCTCCCCACCCCCAAGCCATTTTTCTAGCTCTCTGGATCATAGCAGCAGGCTCAGCTGGAATAACAGCCCCTTCCCTGTTTTGCTGAGGTTTCCTCTGCTAATTCACAGACTTACACTGACGCACAGAGAGCCCCCAGGGTGCAGAATCCCCAAGGACATGACATATGAATACCCAACCATCATTTTGAGACCCCACCCAGAGTGAAGCAGATAAGCCACTTTCAGACAGCCTTGGCAATCGGGAGGAAGCTTCCAGATGCACAGCCCTCTGCAAGCTGTATTGCTGCTCTAGGCTTGTGAATAACAAGGAACTCGGGGTGGAAACCTGACTCTGGCAATAGCTTGTTGTGCCACTCTAGGCAGGTTAAGTTTTAGTTACATCTGCAGAGTGGAAGATGGAGATCCAATTGGCTAAAACTGATGCCAGAAACCTGTATCTGCTGCCTCCAAATGGCTTCTCTGCCCTTATGTTTTACTATTACTTGTGTATAACACAGAAACACATAACATGAGATCAGCTCCCAAAACTTCAGCTGTGCACACCGTGCTGATAACTATGGGCACGCTGCAGCCTCTAGATCACCTCTATGGCCTGTTTTCTTGTAAAAGTCAAAACACTGTCCCCTTGAATGCCCCATCCTTCTCCTGTCCCTGGCAGCCCCCCTTCTACTCTGTGTCATCATAACAGCAACGCTGGATACTATTTGTCTCTTCACAACGTCTGTACAGTGACATCTATGGCTTTCTGTAAGTCAAAAATAAAACTAGAAGCTGGGCTGTTACATATCTATAATCCCAGCACCTAGGAAGCTGAAACAGGGGGATTATAGAGAGTTCACAGCAAGGCCAGCTTGGGCTATAGAGAGACCTTCTCTTTAAAAAATATCTGTTAATTGATCAATCCATAAGGGTAAAATAAAAATATTGCATCAGCAGGGAAAAGAAATTGAGAAGATAAGTGTAAATAGGTCAGACACTGCCAAAGAGGGGAGCCAGGTCAGTGCCCAGACAGGTGCTAAATGTTTTGTTTTGGTTTGTTTTCCCATCATCTTTTGTTCAACTTATTGTGTGCCAAAGGGCCTCAGCCCAGGGTCTGAGGAGAGGGAAACCACTAAGCCATCTCAGGCCTCAGCGTCCCTGTCGAACTAGCAAATCAGACTATGTGATCTCCTGTATCACATTCTAAAATACTAGAGGGTAAAGTCAGAAGACAGTGAATACAAAAGTCAGGGTCCTCCCTAGGAAGACTTCTCCTGAGGATCAGAAGTCCCAGGTTCATACCCACATTCAGCCCACTTTAGAATCCCCTACCTGGAGTCCCTGGGACACTTGCTCCATTCATAATGAGCTCACTGGACACAGACACAGAAACTTGTTCTATTGCATGTCATAAGTTGTATGTCTGGGGGCCTTGTGAGACTAATGGCAGGCCAGGATGTCAGGGAAGAGATCATGTGACTAGGGTTGACAGTAGAGTGTTCACAGGCCCCACATGCAGGATTTGCTTCTCACCAGGTACTATACTGTTAGTTTCTGCTGAAGCTCAGGCAACTTGAAAGGGCACCAACTGCTAACTACAGGGCTCCTGGCTGCAGATGTGTGGTGGCTCCCGAGTGAGACTCACCACATCCCAAAGGCATGGGTAAGGAGAGCAAGCTGGAGGAGAAGCAAAGCTTGAGGCAATTTTCTTGCCTCTCAGTGGCTGTCTGGATTGAGCTGTTTGTGCAGCTCTGTACCCTGTATCTTGTATGGGAAGTTCCCCAAGGTCATTTGAAAGATGAAGTTAGGGAAGGGATGGCATCAGAATAGGCAGGAATCTGGACTCCTGAGCTCTGGTCTCCTGGTTACTGATACTTCATTGCTTAACTATTGTGTGCCCAATGTCCCAGCCACCAGATAGGCCTCATAAATATTTACACGCAATGTGCGTTGCGATGCTCAATTAATTGCAGCTGTGACGCACTTAGAGAGCCTCGGAGGAAAGGTGTGCATAGAGAGCTAGGGGTTATTAAATGCACAAACAAGTCAGCTCACGGAAGCAGCGCCCTTTGGAGCTTTCCATTGCCCTGGGGCTTTTCAGATCAGAGCCCAAATCTAGGGAAAACCTGCTCCCAGGAGGACACTGTCCAAGAGTGACATTTGTGACTATGCCAAGAACTTGTCATCAGAACATGAACAATGACGTGCACGTGTGATTGACCAAAGAGGGAATGCAGGTAATAATTTAAACTCCTTAGTCGTCTCAGAAATGAAACAGGTGCCATAAGTAGGTAAAGTGGGGTTGGAGCGTGGATCCTGGTGGGGAGACACAGTGGGTGGCCACTTCACGTTGAGTGAATGAGAATGTAAGTTAATCGGAATCAATACAAACTATCCAGAAAGCATCTGAGAAATGTGCCACAGGGCCTGAGGATGCCCAAATGACCCGGCACTTTCCTTTAATTAGATTATTGTCCATCCATGAAGATATTCAGAGATGAGACTAAAATGCTAGAATGGATGAGTTTTGCAATCTTGTTTACAGTAGTCAAAATTAGCAAGAAAGGAAATCTGCTTGAAAAGTGCCACACAGCCAACAAATGTGTTTTTCAATGACACTGAATAAGAAAGTGTCACAGTGGCATCCTACACAATCTCATATAAAGACACTTAAACAACTATGTATCTTAATGTGTCTGTGGGCCTACATGACAGCTCAGTGGGTAAGAGCACTGATGCAATCCTGATGACTTGAGTTCCACGCCTGTGACCCACCCAAAAAGCCTAGTGCTAGGACAGGCATCTGTAATTGCATCCCTCCTACAGTGAGGTGAGAGGTGGAGACAGGGGCATTGCCTGGCTGCTCATAGCATGGACTATCCTGGAGTATGAAGCACAGAAATGAGAGGCCTTGCCTCAACAGGGTGGGACCCCAAAGAGCTGTCCTCTGACTTCCACATATGTGCTATGATATGGGAACAATCACACACACACACACACACACACACACACACAGAGAGAGAGAGAGAGAGAGAGAGAGAGAGAGAGAGAGATGCATATGCATGCACCTGCATGCACCATTCACACATTGCTTTCATTTTAAATGTATGCATGCATCCTCATTGCACACATATACACATATGAACATGGTGCTGACTTTTTTTCATGTCTATGTCTTCTATCTTTAATATTGCCTCTAACAAAACATTACTTCAAGACTACATTAATACAAACACGAAGGGAGTGCTTCCTGTTTGTATTACCCAGACTGGGACTGGGTGAGTGACTGCTCACAGGGTAAAAAATAGGGACCTGAGTTCCATCCCA